AAGAAAATGTAGTTTTCTGACCATTAAATATAATAAATGAATAATGAAAAGGATATGACATTTGTGAAAAATTGCATTTGTACATCGCATCAAATAAAACTAACCTAACACAGCAATGAAAAAGTATGTTTCTCTGAATAAACATTCTTTACCTTTATTTTAGTCCTTTTTTTCTTTTAATGGAAGTTTTATTTTAAGTCATCCATTTTCAATTTTTGCTTGCACTAAAATCAATTAAGAATTAGCCACTCTAGACCTGGGAACTCAACTGCCAGACATAAAAACCAATTTTAAGACTAATCTTAATAAAACTATATAATGAAAATATTTCATTCTATAATATTCATTCTATATTATATTAATTAACAAAATAATTAATATTCATTTGTTATTTAATATGTTCGCAATCGCTTATGAAATTCATACATGAAGTCTCGGGGTTCCGCCAAAATAAGGTCTATCATTTAGAGTTCCACACCCGAAAAAAATTGGGAGCCTCTGTTATACAGTAAATATTCTTCAAATAAGTGGTGAACGTTTGCTTTTTGTTATCATCACTAGATGGCGACAGCAGCTGCTGTAGGCCATGGTTTAACTCCTCTTGGCATACAAGACTAACAAATCCTTGATTACCAAGATTTAACTCATTGCAATCAATAACATTGTTCTATTAATTCTACGAAACTGTAAAATTTTCGTTCTTGTATGGTGTGCAGCCTCCCTTAAATAAATCAAGGTAAAAACTATCTTAAGAACTCGTGAATCGTAAAAGCCAGTTATATACATTTTATAACAGAAAATAGTTGTGAAAAGCAACAATACGAGGAGGCTGGCTCGTTTTAAATTTTATATAAGTGTTTAAATGTTGAATGGTCGAGTCTTCTTTTTCCTTCTTTAGTTTGTCCACTGCACCCAGCTTGCACCACCTGCAACGTTAGTGAAAAATCACCTAATGATAAAATAAATCATTTGTTAAAATGTCATAAAAAAATTAAACTCACAGAAGTTTTACATTTGTTAAAAAAAAATTGAAAAAAGTCGAATGCTTAAAATTTATACTGAAGGTAAGTTTTAGCACCACAATTAATTTTCATAAACTGATTTACTGACAATTTCACTAACCCTATATAGAAATGTCCATTTCACACGATATTATTTAGCCTCTTTTAAACAAATATCGGCCTTATATGGAATTCTTATTGCCCAATATTAAAAGCCATTCTAGCACCGATATTAAAAAGTTTAAACATCCCAAGATTGATCCGTTGGTAACTGTTACAAAACAAAACGTAAATTTTTAATAAAAAATCTTGATTTAATTTAAAATAGTCTTTGACAGTTGTTTAATATTTCATGTAAGTGATGGTTAGCGCAAAACTTTTCCAACTTACAACTGAATTAGTTTCAAAAAATGAAATTTTATTTATAGTATATTCTCAATTAATTTCAAATTTAAAATGCAGCTCTTTTCTTTCTTTTTTCTTTCTTTTTTTTGGTTTTGAAAGGAAAGTAATCGACTTATTTTTTATCATTCTACAGACTTTTAAAAATGATTAAATTTAAAAAAAAAAAAAAAAAAAAAATTTCAAATTTTTAAGCAATNAAAAAAAAAAAAAAAAAGATGACAAAATTACGCCAAAATTAATGGTGCTGCCATCTACTTTTACATATAGACAATACAAATGTTTGCTTTGAGAGAAATTATTGAATTCCAATACTCTACGTACGACCACAGATACTTTTATTTATTTATTTAATATCATGTGATTAATGTCTACTTAACAAAGCTTCCAATGCAAAAGAAGTTTTAGAGCTAAGACCTTTTTATTTATTTCGGTGAACAAAATGAATAAATAAATAAAGGCGAACGCTCTATCCCTTGAGTCATCACGGCTCATAAATATTAACACTATTGTAAAAAAAATTTATATGCTAATACAAAAAAAATGAACATCTGCTTGAATTTCAAGACTAATCAACTGTGCTTGAAAAAATTTTTTTGGTGACTTTTAATCTTTCATTTTTTTCTCTTTCACCCTCTCTTCTTTTTCTCCTCTTATTATTTTAATGATATCACCTTATAAAAAAGGATTTTGAGGGAGATAAATGAAGTATTCTACGACAAAAGATGAGTAGTCATTGCTTGAAACAAGAAAAAAGGGAATAAAATTGCGATACTTTCGCCCTTTAATGCAACAAATGCGAATTTCAGAGAGGGGAAAAAAAAAAAAAACGTGTGACAAAAAAAAGAATTTTTTTAAAAATTTTCTATAGCTATTCTTTGTTACATCTAGATATTTTCGAAAAACAAAATGCCCACAGTTTAATATAAAACCCGTTAACTATGCATTTCACGGTGGGGAAAAAATGGAAAATTTTTTATATGCAAGCGTTATATAAATACTGGCCTTAACGTGTATTTTATTTTATTTTATAACCGTCGTTGAACAGCCGACCCAATTTCATGAGTTTACGACTACTAATGTTCAACTCCGTAGCCTTGTAATTTTGAACCAATCCAGAAGACAAGGAAACTCCTGGATCAGTACCCCCAGAGGTATTGATTTGTTGTGGGAACATGGAGGACTTTGAGACTCGACAGANTTTTTTTTTTTTTTTTTTTTTTTTTTTTTTTTTTTTTTTTTTTTTTTACAAATAATTTATTACCTAGACAAATTTGAATACGCTGAGAAAATAGGACTCCCAAACGTAAATATAAAATCAGTTCCCAATTTATCCTTCGTCACAAGAATTCGCAAAATATCTATACTAGCATTATATGTGTACCGTCATGTGGGGCTACTTTGTGCAGGATTTCGCAATTTTTGAACTTTGACATGTAAAAAAAAAAAAACTATGTTAATTCAAACTTTAGTAAAACTTATCGATATTATATTCATAACTGGACTCAGACGAGTGAATTTGATCAATATTGGCATTATTTGTATGTAATATTTACAAATAATAAGTCAAAACATACCTTGCACAAAGTAGCCCCCATGTGGGGCTACTTTGTGCAAGGTATGTTTTAACTTATTATATGTATTAACTTATTATAACCATGTGGGGGAACTGATTTTATTTTGCACTTACGACAATTGTTTTATCAACGTCTTAGGATTTCACAGCTAAAGTCTCCACGCACACTTTTCGACGTCCAGTGTTCTCGGAAAGTTGTTGACATTGGATAAGCAAAACACACTCTGAGATTGTTTTAAAATTCGAAAAAAAGTTTGTAGTAATAGAGGAGACTTCTATCTTCAAATTCCACACATTTTTAACTTGAAAAAAAAACATAATACTGAATAGCAACTCTTGAAAAGTGCCAAATTCGAATTTGCACAAAGTAGCCCTCACTGCACAAAGCAGCCCCACATGACGGTACCGTATTTTGTGTACTTTTGACTAAATAAACTTGCATAAGAAAATTTATGAAAATTTATAGAAAATTTTGTTTCCATATTTTAATATAAGACCTGTTACCAAGTGAGTTTCCCGATTCAAAAAATTATAAAAAATGTGCAAATGTGCATTTGTGTTAGCGCTATATCTGTAAGTGATTCCTTATTTTGGACTAAGTAAAAAAGAATTAATATTTCATGAAGATTACTTAACATTTTTGTAAAGAAAAATATAGCGGATTTTTTTAATATGATACCAGTTTCAAAAATATCTCTGCAAATACATATATATTAATTTGCAAATTCTTCATCATTATGTTAGCTTTACTCATAACGAACATAACTGCGTCGTGGGAATAGTTAAGAAAGATCACAACTTTTGAATTACTAAACTACGCAGTGGAGGAAACTAAGAAAGTTGTCACTACTTCCGGACTACTAAAATATCAAATTTCTCGATTATGGTAAACCGTGCGAAGGCCTTTTCTCTTCTTGTATGTGTCGAATGAGAGGAGTAATAAAATTTAACTACATACAGTTCTACATATTTAAAATTAATATAATTGTTTGAAATAAATTTTATTCTGGAATATTTTAATGAATTCTTTAATGTTCTTTTCAAAGATACTGGAGAAAGGGAGGTGTTTTACTTATACGTATTTCCTTAAAACGTATTTTTAGAAACATTACCAAAAATGAAGTAGAAAAAAATATATACGTAAGGATTAGCAAACTAAACGGAAGCTAAAATAAAATCATAAGCATTAATAGATTACTGTTGTAAAGGCTGTAACTGAAAATAGCAAAATCTGTTGAAAACGCTGGATGAAAACAAAAGATTTAAACTGCTATTGTTGGAAACACATTCAAGTTTCATCAAATTACCCAACCATGGCTAAGCACCTAGCCCCATTTTAGAGCTCTTGGTTTTTAACGGCCATGGTAGGAATGCTACGTAATTTTGGCAATGGTTAGGTCACGCGGACAAGACCTGAGCTTTTACCCCTCTCTCTAGACTTCTACACATCCACTTTCAGATTTAAAGTGCATCTTGCCGCGTATACGCGGATTTAGTTGGTCAGAATTGAGCCCACTACTCCCAGCTCTCCAACCAGCGATGTGAGCGATACCTTAACCGACTGCCCCACCGGAGAGCTGCAAGTTTCATCTGGCAATCAAACTGGTTTTCATGTTTTTATCCAACAGTCTGTTCTATTGAGTTGGTAGATTGCAACAGAATTTTCGTTTTTTCTCCTCTTAAACTATAATTTATAACCTATAGTGTTGTATATACGTCTGCTTCTGCACCCCAGAGCCCAAGGTCAAGAAAACTGAGCTGGGCACAGTAGTCCTTGGCCCTCTATGGGCTATCGCGCCGCTGAGTTTAGTTTTAGTGTTGTATATTTTTTAAAACTTTCGTTTACATAGATTCTAAAAATATACATCATAGTTGGTAATTGAGCTTACTACTGTATATTTTTAATTATACTACTTTTTTTTGTAAGTAAAATTTAGGAAATATCTTTGGATAATTTTTACGTACATACATCCAGTACATAATTGAATTACAGCGTGACATCTCCACAAATAAGCAACAACTTCAATATACACTGCCATATTTATTGATTCAAGTTTCAAAGAAGCATAAGGCACAACATGTGTATGAATAAAAACAACAAAAACATCTCAAAAGAGGAAAAAGAATCATGCCGTTTCAACTGCAGCAGGCGGATGCGCATACATAGCAGACATCAGCGTCTTAAAGCTTCCAGATTGGTGGATTATTTCCTTAGGACTTCCAAAAGCATTATTCCTATCTTGTTCAAAGGGCCTTGGGCCAGTAGGCTGAGGGCCCGGTCCTCGACGAGGCAAGGTAGGAGTTCTCACTTCTGGCAAAGGACTAGCAGATCTTTTTTCTTCTTCATGAATCATCTGGAACGTTGGTGATAACGTTATGTCCACAATGTTGGCTAATTTGGTTCCAGGTCTAGCGGGAGCCAGAGTTCCGGGTGTTCCAGGAGATAAAGGCCCGGACTGGTTAGCTGGGATTGCATTGTTTACAGCTAGTCGTGGCGGTTTTCTAAATTCAGAAATACAACAAAATATCAATGCTAATTTTATTAAAATAAAACGTCTTTAAAAATAAACAGCAAGTATGATAGTTTTGCTTTCATTATAATCATTTAATTTAATTTCCTGTGAATGAAATTTCGGCATTTTTTTCCTGTTTTTTTTAATGAAGTTATGTTATTTACCATAAACAAAAAATGCTTTATCCATACAAAAAAAAGTTTTTGTGGAAAAAAATTCACCAAGTTTCTTGTGATTATCACAAATATTTCGCTACTTAATGCTTTTGAAGTCTCGAATGTTTAATAAGGTAAATAAAACTTTTGTCGCCAGAAATGACGCTAACCAACAAAAATTGTGACCAAATTGGCGATGGTCTAGGAGAGTACTTTTCCCTTACCTGTAAGTTGTTATTCCGCACTCTTGAAATACGCTAAGTCGTTAATTTGGAAGAAAAAAAAATACTTACGGAATATTTATTTTCAAATATATACAAGAAACACATATTTTCATCTAAAGGACATTTTTCATGTTATGCAGGATTATTGCGATACGGACTTAGATTGGTATTCATTAAAACTTATATCTAAAAAAAAAAATTGAAAAAAAATTGGAACTTAACATTTTATTTTTATAATAGTAGTACTTTCTTTACGTCTGACTAAAGTTACGCAATGGGCTATTAGACATGATTTGAGAAACATCTTTGAAAATGATCCGAATAAATACAATTATGATCCTCTTTAGAGGGTATGGCTCTTCCGCTTTAGTGGTCAGAAAACTTGCGTGCAAAATCGATCACTTTGCGGAAGAACAATTTAACGAGGACCAATATCACGTGCCCTTGGACCATTCGCTGACAAATGAAAGTTGCCACCCACATGCTCACTGACCGCTGACGGTGATGCTTGATTCCATTGTCTACTTGGAATCACGTCTTCACGATTAGTCCACTGCGGGAAATTCTTTTTCGATGAAATGCTTGTTTAACGGTACAGTTAAAATTTCACCTCGGTTATGGATATTTCTTCTCGCTGTGTACTCTATTCAACAATAATTCACCGAGCACTGCAGAATTCCGATGTTCATATAAGAATTTAAAGAAATATTTTAAAAGCTGTTCTATACATATAGATTTTTAGACAATTTAAGATTATTTTTATTTATTAAAAAAGATATAGTAACACAAAAGACCAGTAGAAATTATTGACATATAAGTGAAGGAAAATTGTATTTGAACATCCTGGTCTGTGAAAATATTAATTCGTTTGCAATTTTCAAAAACAGTTAGTGAAATGCATAGTTAAAAACAGTTATACTCAAAATAGCTCTTTGCGAATGATCGGGATTTTTCATACTTTGTCACGATATTCGTATATATAGAAAAAAAAAAGAAGATTAGAAAAAAAGCATATCAATTAAGGAAAAATATATTTTAGCATCCTGGTTTATAAAAGTATTAATCAGTCTGTAAATTTTACAAATAGTTACTGATATGCATTGTGAAAAAAGTTACAATTTAAGCAACTTAGTTTAATGATTTGGATTTTTCATACTTAGTCACAATATTCGTAGTTTCAGTGCGTCGCCTAAGACATGCTAATTAATCAATGAAGAAAAAATTTTGATGTGCGAAATTCGATTTGTAATTTCTCCAACTAGTTTTTCAACCTTAAAATACGATTGGATTGAAGAATCAACCTCCGTCAGGTAAACCGGCTCCAATCCAGGATTTAGAAGAACGATTTTAGCCTCTAATAATGCTTTTACTTTTTATTCTTTTACATTGCAAAACGTGATTTTTTTGCTGCATTTTCCAGAGGATTTTCGTACATGCATCGAAGAGCCATTACATTATGACCACCCTTCATCTATAACAATGGGCTCGCCCAGGTTCTCATGGTTTCTCGCCCAGGAACAATGTTTTCATGAGGCACATAATCCCATAATCCTCATAGAACAATCCCTCACGTCTGTAAGCTACTACTTGAGCATAGTTGCAGACCAGGTTCACCCATTCATGGCTACAGTTCTTCCTGCGGGGGATGGTGTTTACCAACAGGATAATGCACCATGTCATAAGGGTCGAATCGTCGAGGAACATTCCAGTGACTTTCAAGTCATGTCTTGGTCCCCAAATTCACCTGACCTTAATCCAATAGAGGATTTGTGGTCCCACTTGGAAAACCAAATTCGTGCTGCCACGTAATGTGAGGGAATCGCAGGACCAGTTGTTGAGCGCTTGGTACCAGATACCTCAGACTACCTATCAGCACCTTGTGGAATCAATGCCACGGCGGGTGCTAGCAGTTTTGAGGGCTAAAGGTGTTCCTACATGTTATTAGCAGGGTGTTCATAATGTAATGGCTCTTCGGTGAATATAATAATTGGTATTGTTTGAAACTACAAATAGGAAAAACTCACGCAGGTGCTACGCCAGTCTGATCTTTGATCGTTTCATCGATATTTTTCTGAGAATAGAGGAACATTGGAGAATTATATTGGTGGTGGACAAGCTGAGCAGATTCGTTAAGATTGCGTTCGAAATTAAGAGCTCCTGGGTGAGGAGTTGGTGCTTGTGGTCGTCTACTGTAATGGCCTATGGAAGAATACGTTGGTGTAGGAAGAAGCCCGAATTTTGGCTGAAAAAAAAAGAGATAAGATACTAACTAATCTATCCAGTAAATTCAAAATCTCACAAAATTCATCATAATCCATAATTCATTAAACAATGAAATATTATATTTTTCTTTTTAAAAAAACTCTAATGATTTTTGGAAACCAATCAACTAGATGCAAGAGAAAATGCTTAATAGCCACCTGAAATCCACTAGCTTCAAATAATGGCAAAAATACTCGATTTTTGCTTTAAAAAAAATTGTATTCACTAATGCAATAAAATTTTCAAAGCGAAATTCAATTAATTCAATTTAATTAAATTTTCTCAGTTATTTTTTATTACAAAAGAAATTATAATTTTAAATATGCAGCATTTTTTTTCATGCGTAACGTAATTTTCTAGCGTATTTCTTCGCATTTTGGTCATGAAACAAAGTCCTCTGGACTCAAATAATAAGACATTTGTGTGTACTACAAAAAAATCTACTTTATTTTTTTCAATACACTCCATCAATTATTAAAACTAATCCACTAGATGTAAGAGAAAAAATGTTTAATAGTTCTTGAGATAGACCTAGTTTTAAATAATTGCAATCATTTTTATTTTTGTTCAGAAGAAATTAAATTTAAAAATGTGATGAAATTTTTCATTTTAAAAAGAAATTCAACTAATTAAATTTAATTAACTTCCCTCAGTTATTTTTTATACATACAGCATTTACAGCATTTTTTGCATAGTGTGGGATATTTTTTTATTGTGTATTGTCTTGCATTTTGGTCAAGAAACAAGATCCACTAGGCTCGAATAATAAGATATTTATATGTCATAAAATTATCCGAAATTCAACTTGAATTAAATTTCCTGCCTTTCTACTAATTTTTAATTGTAATCAAAAACTTCGATCAGAAGAGGGTAAATCCAATTGTTTCTTTAACCCTTAAAATGCATGCAAAAACAAAAAAAAATCTAAAAATATTATTTTTTCAGTGACAAAACCATATCAAATGTCGTCCAACATATTGGACGTTGCTTCTCAGTTGAATATTTATCACATAACCTATGAATTTTTAAGACATATTAATTACGTTCATAATTTTAAATTTTAATTGGTTTGTAAAACTAAATTTAAGGACGAAATCATTTGAAATCAACATTCTCTTTTTTAGCATTAATTTAAAGGATTTATTTGCTTTAAATTGTTTTACTTACGGTAGTAGGTTGAATAGTAGACCTTCCTTTCCAATTTGGGTCATGCACGTGCCTTAAATATGAACCCATTGGTATATCATGCCTTGTTTTAGGCCCAGGTGCTATTAAGGGTAATGTTCTATAGCCCTGGAAAAAGAATAAAACTACGTGATTTATCAAATCATAAATAATAGCAACTTCAACGAGAAAAAATCCAAATATTTATTTTAAAACTTAAACTAATTAGATACTTGCAACTTGAGAAAAAGAATACGTGATAAGGCCTAATCATGTGATTTAAATCACATAGTTGTGCCCAATCATGCGGTTGTGCTTGATGGGTTAATCCCACATCAATTAGGTTGGTTTATTATCACGCTGAATCAATTTTCGTACCAGATTTAATTGAATACCTATAAGCCACGTCACGTGTATATATGTCGATCTTGATTGGCTTCTGAATCGAGGCATAAACGAATACCCATTATTTATAAGCGATAACGTGCCTTGCAAGTATTAAAATGAAAAAATTTGCTGGTGACTAGAACTTTAACCTGAGATTAACTTTGATGCGTAATTCAATTGGTTTCATATCATACTTTCATATATATACTAAACTCTAGGAACACTAAAGACAGTAACAAGTTTGAGTTGTTTGAATTCCAGCTTTATAAATTTCAAACAAAAGTTCAATAATCATCATAAAACATTATATTAAAATTATATCAATAATTAATAACATTTCATTGATAAAATAGCAATTGCAAATGTGAAGAGCTTATTTATCAATTTCTGATATTAACTTAATTTTAATTCTACCATTCCAAATTTGGAATAAAATTTTGATAATGAAGTTAAAACTAATAGTGCATTTTAAATATCATATAAATATGCAAACATTTTTCCCTTTAATATTAAAAGTGTGTATTTCAGAACAGTTATATTTAAAATTATAATATTACCCTAAATTATTAGAACAATCTCTTTTTGTAATCTTTAAAACAGTAAGAGAAATAGTGATTTTAATTAATTTATGATGAAAAATTGTTTAATTATAAGACCTGAATTTTGATGCATGTTAATTTTTATACATATAAAATTATATATTCATATTAAATAAGCAAATTAATTAGTAAATCAAAAATCCTTTTTTCATTCTTAATTTCAATATAATTTTTTAAAACAAAATGCATTTTATTTAATAGAAAAAAGTTACATGCTTTTTGATTATTACTTGTGTACATAATTATACCAATAATTATTTGTGTACAAATAAGAATAATAATCTGAAAAATCGGAACATGAAAATTCAGAGTAAAAACAAATTATATAACAATATTACTTCATGTAAATATAAGAAAACAGAATTAGTTAATCGGAAATTCTTTTTTTCATCCTTTATTTCAATATAATTTTTTAAAACGATATATACATTTTATTTGTTGTGGAAGGAATAGTTATAATGGATTTTTTATTATTATTATTATTATGACTACTAATTTCATTGTTATTATTATGATTATTAATTTCATTGTTTTTATTATGACTATTGGTTTTATTATTATTATTTAATAGAAAAAAGTTACATGCTTTTTGATTATTATTTGTGTACATAATTAGACCAATAAGTATTTGTGTACACATAAAAATAATGATCTGAAAAATCAGAGCATGAAGAATCAGAATAAAAAAAAATTTAAAAAACAATATTACTTTATGTAAATATTAAAAAACAGAATTAGTTAGTAGTAAATTCTTTTTTTCATCCTTTATTTCATTATAATTTTTTGAAACGATATATACAATGGAATTTTTTTTATTATTGTTTTTATGACCATTATTTTCTTTTGCTATTATTATGACTATTAGTTTTATTATTATTATTACTATTATTATGACTATTAGTTTTATTATTATTATTACTATTATTACGACTATTAGTTTTATTATTATTATTACTATTATTATAATCATTATTATTATTATTATTGTTATAACTTTTTCTCTCCAGAAATTCACATATATTCATTTCGTCTGTCCTTCAAACAAGTGTGGAATTTTGATTCTATGAACTGAGTGCCAAGTCTTCAACAGTCATTTTCAAGACATAATAAAAATATCCATAAATTCTTTAACACTCCAGAGAAGATTTTGACTCGAAGGCAGCCAAAAATAACGCCATTCCTCCTCTCTGCTTTCAAGAATCTAAAATAAATAATTCAAACAAAAATACTGACGCCAAACGGACCATTTAATTTCCACCTTCTAACAGGAAAGAGAACTATGAGAAAATTATTGCATATGCGTGATGGTGGATAATTATTTTAAGTATAAAAGGTAATGAGCATAACGGATCATTCTTTAAGAATGTATTTATAACTTTCTTTTTTGAAATAGATACTTATAAGTAATACTACAACAATGAATATTTCCAGTTTGTAATCTATGGGGTAACTGGATGCTTGCAACGCGCGAAGAAGTGAAGTTATTATGTCTTACCATGTGAATAAAATCAGACTTAATTGGATACCTGTCAGCGACGTCACACGTGCGTGTTGAATTTGATTGGTTTCTGAATCGACAAATCCTACAATTTACCCACGATGACGTCAACTGGAGATATTCAATTGCACTGCCGGAAATTTTAATGTCTCTTAACACCAAAAATGATGGCAACAATTTTAAGTTAAAAATTGTATGGAGAAGCAACAGGGATGTTAATATAAATTACTTTTGATGTAAAGTAGTTATCTCCATTTTCGGTGTCCACAGTAACGCTAAAATTTATAATATCATTAAGATATGATGCACAAAAGAGTTAGCAAAGTTTTTTCCCGATACATTAACGCGTGTGTGTCGAATTTGATTGGCTTCTGAATCGACAAATGCTACAATTTACCCACGATGACGTCAATTGGAGATATTCAATTGCACTGCCAGAAATTTTAATGTCTCTTAACACCAAAAATGATGGCAACAATTTTAAGTCAAAAATTGTATGGGGAAACAACAGGAATGTTAATTTTAATTACTTTTGATGTAAAGTAGTTGTCTCCATTTTCGGTATCCAGTAACTGTAAAATTTGAAATATCATTAAGATATGATGCACAAAAGAGTTAGCAAAGTCTTTTTTTCCCTATACATTGACACGTGTGTGTCGAATCAGGGCTAAAGAGAATAGAAGGGCTGGTTCACTCCTTTGAAGTATCTCTCGCCGCGCCGATCCTCCGACGTCACTCTAGTGACGTCACTTTGGCGCAAAGCTCGCACTTTTACTTCAAGAACGGAGCGTTTGGCCTTACTAGCTCTAACTAATATTGGATCATTTCTTTTTGCGAGATATTCTAAGACATTTGTTATTTTCTATAATGACTTTCCTCAGTTTTTGCAGTGAATTTACAAGAATTTAAAACTATTATCGAAATGCCAGTTTGCGCGATTGCAACTTGCAAAAATTCTGATATAAAAACAAAAGGAAAAAGTATAATTTTTCGCGTGTTCCCTAAAGTAAATGAACAACTATGTAAAGAATGGATTCCGAAATGACACAGTTAATATAAAACAGCAATACGTTTATTCTGTCGTAAAGAACTTTTATAAAAATTCATTATCTAAATAGAAACCGCCTCGTTACTTCATAAAGAAAGGCAGGTGAAAAGAATTAAAAAATAGATAAAGTCAAAGAAAATTAAAATGTAAGTAAAAAGTATAAATAAAATATATAGTATATAGTTGAAATTCTCCTAATTTCATAACATATTTTTTAATGTAGTTATTCTAAATATTTATGATTTTTTTTAAAAATTATATTCTCTTCAATTTAAATATCTATAAATTATATCATCATAAATTTAAATGTCTATAAACAATTGTAAAATTTCTAATTTCATCATGAATCTAAATTATTATTTTGTTTCAGTAATTAGCGTTTAAGGTTGATGTTTCCTAATGATTAAGTATGAACAAATTGCTATTAACGACATATTTTGAAATCAGGGATTCTAAATTTAACTTAACTTATCGTTATAAATGAGTATGTAGATAAAAAAAGTGTCGATATATGCCTTCATTTTTCTTAATAGTTAAAGTTAAAACTGAACTATCGTGTCAGTATTTATCGTGTCATTTTCACCAACTAGCAAAACATTTTTATAAGTTTAAAATGGTATTTTTTTTAATATAATAACCAAGAAAGTTTTTTTTTTGAACTATGTTTATGAACAGAAATAATGTGTTAATTACGTATTGAAGGTTAATAACCAGAAAAAGTCTAAGTTATTTTTACAAAGAGAAAGATGCGAAGTTATCATATCTTTGCTCGCGATCTCCGAGATCTGTGGACACAGTGACGTCATGAGGAGGGAAATCGTAGCTTCAGCTCTAAGAGCGGAGTGAACTAGCCCTTCCAATCTCTTTAGCCCTGGTGTCGAATTTGATTGGCTTCTGAATCAACAAATGCTGCAATTTACCCACGATGACGTTAATTACGGGTATTTAATTGCGCTGTAAAAAAATTTAGTGCTTCGTAACACCAAAAATAATGACAACAATTTTACGCCTAAAAATGTGTGGGAAACAGCAGGAATGTTAATTTTAATTAACTTAGATGTAAAGTAGTTGTCCCCATTTTCGATGTCCAGTAATACTAAAATTTAATATATGATTAAGATATAATGCACAAAAGTGTGAGCAAAGTTATTTTTTGCGATACAATGACAAATTGCAGCTACGATAACGAAACACTCAAGAGAAAGAAATCTTTGCTTAAGATGCATACACACAAATTGTTAAAATAAAATTTATTTTCAAAATCCACATACGCATTCTACAGAGAGCATGTTAATATGATTTCAAATTAGGCTTAAAAAACAGAAGCTACTGGAAATTAAATATTATTAAATAATTTAATACGTTATATTTTACTGTTAGTTTTACCAAAATCATTACCGAAGTGCTTATGTAAAAATTATCAAGATTTTTTGTGTTCCAATACAGCCAGAAAAAATTTAAATTTTACCTATTTTTGTAGTTTTAAACATACTTCTTTTCACAGTGTAAAAATACAAAGTGTTTTGTAAAATCTGCCTTTAATATAGAATAAGTCTTTAGAATAAAGTCGAAAAGTAATAACGTAATCACATTAGAA